TGTGGTGCTGTAGGATACAACACTGAACCTCAAGGTTGGTATGAACCACAAGGTCAGTGGTTCAAACTCACCAGTTGCTCCTTGGAAACCCTGTACAGAGTCACTATGAGTTGGAACTGACTCAACAGCACTTAACAACAACAAAAACGAACTGCCAGAAGGATAAATATATCTGTGTTGAAAGAAGTGCAAACAGAATGTTTCTTAGAGGCAAGGATGGTGAGACTTCATCGCACATACTTTGGATATGTTATCAGGAGGGACTAGTCCCTGGAGAAAGGCACCATGCTTGTTAAAGTAGAGGGTCAGAAAATGAGGGAGCGATAAAGGCTTACAAGGTTTCAAGAGGGAGTTTAGTTTAAAAGTGTGTGGGGGAAGATAGAGTCCTCACTGACAGTTTTCATTTTGTATAGATGGGTCTAGTGAAAAGAGAGGGGAATAAAATTCATATAATGCAATAGTGAATAATTGTTATCATGACTAATTGCAACTGCCACAGTTATAAAGGTAGAAGTTTTGGAACAAAAACAGGGGAGTAGTTAATCTTGCAGTCCAGAAACAGGACCCTAGGCCCATCAAGGGAGAAGAGCACGAGCGGAATGCAAGACCTTATCCAGAGAAACAGTGACATCAGAGATAGAGGCAGATATGGGGACATGGAGCAAGAGACCAGCTGAGGACTCTAGACTCATGGAAAGAGAGGGACTGAGAGCTGGCAGCCAGGAGGTAGACTTGCAGAATGTGTCCTTTTGTGGTGTAAATTATTATATATGCCTGAGTGTTAAATTAGCTAAAGTGGATAGAGAGAAATACTGTTAACTGATGGTACATGGAAGGGATTATAAACATTGTAACGAAACAAGGTGTACAATTTGTAGAATGTAAAACTGATGAACTGCCCTGTAAACTTTCACTCAACGCACAATAAAAACTCTAAAAAAAAAAAAAAGTAGAGGGTCAGCAAAACAAAAGGAAGACTTTCAATGAGACAGATGGACACAGTGGCTACAACAATACGCTGAACAGGAACAATTGTGAGGATGGTGGATTTGCACTGCCAGCCTTAGGGTTATCAGTCCTGTGCTTATCCTACAGCACCGTATGGGGACTCCAAACATAATAGTGTATCAGCCCTCAAGTATAATGGAAGAGGTAGAAAATTTACAAGTGAATAAACAAGCATAAAATATATTGTTAGATGCTGTCCTGTCAGTTGCAACTCAGCAACACTATTCACAACAGAACAAAACACTGCCTGGTCCTGCACCATCCTCACAATTGTTGGTACACTTGAGTCCATTACTTCTGTTACTGTGTCAATCCATCTTTTCGCTGACCCACCACTTTAACAAGCACGATGTCCTTCTCCAGGGACTGGTCCAAAGTATGAGAGACAAAGACTCACCATCCTGGCCTCTAAGGAGCATTCTGGCTGTATTTTCAACACAGATTTGTTTGTTCTTCTGACAGTTCATAATACTTTGAAAATTATTGTCCAACACCACAATTCAAATGCATCAAGTCTTCTATGGTCTTCTTTACTCATTGTCCAACTTTCACATGCATATAAGGCTTTGAAAATACCATGGCTTGGTCAGATACACCTTAGTCCTCAGACTGACATCTTTGCTCTTGAAGACTTTAAAGAGAACTTGTGCAACAAATTTGCCTAATGCAATATGTCTTTTGATTTCTTGACTGCTGCTTCCATGAGTGTTGATGGTAGATCCAAGCAAAACGAAGTGCTTGACAGCTTCCATCTTTTCTCCATTTATCATGAAGTTATTTACTGGTCCAGTGGTGAGGATTTTTGTTTTCTTTACATCGAGGTCCAATCCATACTGGAAGCAATGGTCTTTGATCTTCATCAATAAATATTTTAAGTCCTCTTCACTTCCAGCAAACAAGGCTGGCAGTACCATCTGGATGTTGAAGGTTGTTAATGAGTCTTCCTCCAATCTTGATACCATGTTTGTCTTCATATAATTCAACTACTCAGATTATTTTCTCAGCATACAAAATAAATAAGTACGGTGAAAGAATACACTCCTGCCACAAACCTTTTCTGACTTTAAAACATTCAGTATCTACTTGTTCTTGTCAAATGACTACCTCTTGGTCTATATACAGGTCCCTCATGAGCACAAGTAAGTGTTCTGGAATACCCATTCTTCTCAATGTTATTCATAGCTTGTCATGACCCACATAATCAAAAGCCTTTGCATAGTCAATAAAGCACGGGTGCCCTTTGAAATTTACTATTCAGCTCTTTTACTCACTCATTTCTTCCATTTGTTTTATCATCTTTAGCTGGAGAGCAAGTTTTATCGTCTCTTCTAGCATCCTTTTTGGTATAAATTGTGGTAAATTCCATAAAGGAATTGAACAGGCTATAATGGTGACAAATAATGGGATAGGAACTGGAGAAACTACCTCTGATGACCAGGGAAGTTGCTTGAGAATGGAACATTTGAGTCTAGAGCTTAAGAAGGAGCAATCAGGTGAGAAGTGGAGAGAAGCAACAAGGGAAAAAGTAGAGGTCGAAAAAAAACTGTACACAGAGCCTCTGAGATGAAACACAGTGAATGAGGAGTAGCAAGAGTGGTTTGAGATTGGGTTTGAGGTATAAGCAGGGCCAGACTATGTGAGGCCTATTAGGTAAATAGTTGGACTTTATCCAGAAAAGTTGTGAGTAAGCATCATAGAGAAAAGACCTTCTCCCATAAATATGACAGCCTAGGAAATCCTATAGATAGTTCAACTCTGTCTTATGGGGTAACTATGAGTAAGAATCAACTCAAAGGCACAGTAGAACAACAGAGTAGCCAAAAGAAGCATTGCTATCAACTGAATACTCAACATAGTAATATCAATTTTCTATTTGAAATATTTAACCACCATATTTTCCCCATATCCTTAAATATTCCTATCATCCCCACCCTCCAAAAACAGTGAGTTTCTTGTAGACAGCACATAATTTGTTGTTGTTGTTGTTGTTATTTTACTCAGTTTGACAATACCTGTACTTTAATTGGGGTATTTAAACCATTTTTAACATAGTGCATTTACTGGTAAGGATTCATTAAAATCTACCATCTTGCTAGTTTTTTTCTGTCTGTTCTATCTGTTCTTTGACCATGGAGAAGAGACTACAAGTGAATGCAAACTTCTGTTGTGTCTGTGGTTCCCTGGGGTTCAATACTCTCATGCTAATTCACACTTGGTCTTTAGTTAAGTCAACAGTAATTTTAGCTGAATTCTTAGCATTCTGACAGTCCCATCTTCTTCTGTACTCTGATAAAGATTAGCCCATGCTCATATCTTGTTCTATGAGGCATGCTGCCTTTCATTAGATTTCAGGCTAACAGAGTTTCCTGTATCTTCCTAAAAATCCAGGGGAAAGTATAATTTAGTAGATACCAAGTTTCTTCTTATCAGTGTAAAAGTGGTGCTCTTCAAACTCCCACCCAAGACTAAGACTCAGGGGAATACACGATCAGGCACGTGGTCTGGCTGGTGACCACGTTGGTCATCAATAAGTGGAAGAGGGGGAAAAAACAGCAATGCAGTTGGGATCTAAGTCCAACCAGATTTAATAGACCCCTGTGAACCTGGGCGGAGACCTGGATGGCCAGCAGTTACAGCATGACCTGGGGACTCCTGGGCCCAGAGACAGTGACATGGCCACAGAGGACTAGAGTGGAGAGTGAAGTGTCCAGCTGATATGAAGTGAGGGGAGATACACAAGTACATCCATGCTTTCAGATAGTACCCACTTGACCTGGCTTTGATGGCTGGATGGTCAGAACTCAACTAGAAGAAGAAAGAAGAGGGAAGAAAAGAAAAGAAAAGAAAAGAAAAAAGAGTAACCCACTACAATTTGATGAACTTTACCTATACATATGGATGTAGTAGCTCAAAAAGGGGAAAAATCTTTACAGCAAGGATCACTCTCACCCCCTCGCAGGGATGGGTAGCTTAGACATTGGCTACCCCAAATGGGGGGAGAGGGGCTATAAAGGCAAGAAGTGACTGGCTTACAAGCTTTCAAGAGGGAGCCTAGTTCCAGATGGGGCAGGGGTAGGTTTAACCTCCACTGAATAATTTCCAATCTGTTGGGACCAAGCTGGCCAAAGGAAATGGGGATAAGACTCTTGCGGTACAGTTGTGAATAATTGCCATCAGGACTGACTGTGAGGGTCAGAAATGTAGAGGTAGATGTTTTTTGACAAAAAGAGGGGAGTGATTGATTTTGCAGCCCAGGAGCAGAGAGGTCCCTGGGACCATCAAGTGAGAAGAAGGGAGAGCATGACCCTACCCAGAGAGGCAATGACACCAGGGATGGAGACAGAGACAATGATGTGGACAGATGGAGCGGCTGTGGACACTAGACTCAGGGATGGAGAAGGGCTGTATGCTGATGGCAGTGGGTGGGCCTGTGGGGTGTACCCTTTGGTTATTTGATGATTGTGATCATTGCAATGAAATGAAATATGATAGGATGAATGTAAAAATGTGAAACTGATGTTCTCCCATTTAAACTCACATAATTCACAATAAGAACTTAAAAAAAAAAAAAAAAAGTGGTGCTTTTTCCAGCTTTCTATATTCCTAGTTGCTCCCCATGGGAGATGTGAATATGAAAAATTATACACATACTAAAACAGTTTCAATTTTAATATATTAGATCCTTAAATGTAGTAATGTTCTATTTCTGAATTAAGCAAATTGTTTCCCTTTAAACAAAGAAATTATGATTTAGGCATGAAGTTATGGAAGTTTTCAAAGATAGAGAGGCCAGAATAGAACAAATTGGTTAGCACTTAAGCAAAATGATTTAATAAGATGGGAAAATAGTGCTAAACAATTGATCAACCGAAACTTTTTCTAAGTTTTAAGATTTCGTGCTGAGTGAAATATATTAAATGTTACCAGCTGAAACGCAAAACTCTAGGTATTGAAGCATATTGGTTTTTAAATGATGCCATGCTTTCTTCCAGATTACTCCAGGAAGCAAGGCTGAGGCTGCCCACCTGTGTCCTGGAGATGTCATCCTGGCAATTGACGGCTATGATACAGAATCCATGACTCATGCAGACGCGCAGGACAGGATTAAAGCAGCGGCACACCAGCTGTGTCTCAAAATTGACAGGTGCTCCTCAATTAATGATGTTAACACTTGATCTGTTTTGCAGGAAAACCTGAACCAGAGCTATACATGATTTCATCCTCCCGGTGTATTGAAGTAGCACAAGACCTAGAATTATGACATATATGACATATATGTGTTGTATCATGTCATATATATATACCACTTTAGTCTCCTCTTCGCTGAAGTTAGTCTAGTTGTTGTTGAGAAACTGTTTCTAAAAGCAACTCCCTGGAATATCAAATTGATGAAGAAGACTGAAAAAATGCTTGTGTGTACTAACCTAGTTAATTAGGAGCCCTGGTGTGGCACTGTAGGATAAGCACTCAACCACAAGGTCAGTTTGAACCACAATGTGGGTGGTTCAATACCAACAGCCACTTTTTGGAAACCCCATACAGGGTTGCTATGGGTCAGAACCAACTCGATGGCACTTAACAACAACAACCTAGTTAATTAGGAGCATGTTGGCTTTGTAGGATAAGCACTGGACTGTGAACCACAAGGTTGGCAGTTGAAGCCCACCAACCAATCCTTGGTAGAAAGATGATGCCTTCTGCTCCCACAAAGATGTATAGCCTTGGAAACCCGATACCGAATCACTATGAGTAGGAACTGATTTGATAGTATTTAACAAAGCAACAACCTAGTTAATTGGCTGTGAAAATATGAGGGGGCTTCAAAAAGCAAATAGAAAATTCCATTATCTCTTTGATCTATTGTTTTACATACTTTCTTAAACCCTCTTGTGGAGCCATTAAAGGTATTGGTATTGGCCACACAGACCCTGTATAACATGGTTAGTTGTACTACTGTTTTCAGTGTGATAGAGACTGGAAAATATTTAGAAAGTCTCTTAACTGTGATCATGTTAAAAATTGGTTGTTAATATCCTCTATGTCATATGCCATTGGTTGTTTTGAGTCCTAGTGTGGCACTATAGGATAAGCACTGGACCCACCTGTTCCTCAGAAACCCTATACAGGGTTGCCATGAGTCAGAACTGACTCAACAGCACACAGCAACAATTGGCTGTTTTGTACAGAGTTCAGACTAGAAGAATCTTACAAGATATGAGAGCACAAATCCATACGAATTCATTATATACTGAAACATTTTCAGCCAAAAAGAATATTAGAAAATAGAACTTGATCTTTGTCATAAAAGCCTTGATCTGAAGCTGAACAAGGAAACTAGTGATCTGCTGTAATGGTTGCTTATCCTGTTGTATTCACAATGATCCTAGTTTTCCCTGCTGTGATACAGAAAGCACAATTAGTCAGTGAGTATGCAATTTCATCATAGAATAAGCACTCTACCTCAAGGTCTGTTTGAACCACAAGGTCAGTGGTTCAAACTCACCAGCCACTCCTCAGAAACCCTATACAGTGTCACTATGATTCAGAATTAACTTGATGGCACCTAACAACAACAATAACAACAACGAAAGATTCTTTCGGTACTGTGCATAACTTGTATTCTTGCCAAGCACATGGTCCCTTAGGAGCTGTGAGGTCTCAAATAGTTGTAGGAGAAGAAATGGACAGAGCACATATTCTTGATGACAGTGGCAATTCTACCTGGCAAATAACTCACTATCTCCTGGGGTGAAGTGCAGAGAATAGGGGGAAGCAAGGAAATCCTGGTGTGGTGTTCTAGGATAAGCATTGAACCTACTACAAGGTTGGCAGTTCAAATCCACCAGTCATTCCTCAGTAACCATATACAGCAGGGGTAGGGAACATCCTCCCATTGGTCATAAGTTGTTGTTGTGAAGTGCCGCCGTCGAGTTGATTCCGACCCATAGCGACCCTGATAGGGTTTCCTAGGAGCAGTTGGTGAGCTTGAACCACCGAGCTTGCAGTTCAAATGGCTTTGCAGTCTGGCACATTAACCCACAGCGCCACATATAAGGCCTGCAAAATCATTGGGTCTGGGCGTGGCAAGGCAACTGCAGTTCCAGTCATCACATTGTTGTTGTTTGTAAGTGCCGTCGAGTTGGTTCCGACTTATAGCGACCTTGTATAGGGTTTCTGAGGAGTGTCTGGTGAGCTCGAACCACCAACCTTGAGGTTCAAACTGACCTTGCAGTCTAGCACATTAACTGCAATGAACACCAGGACTCCAGTCATAACATTGTTGTTGTTGTTAAGTGCCATCGAGTCGGGTCCGACCCATAGCGACCCTGTACAGGGTTTCCGAGGGTGTAAATCTTTACGGGAGTAGAAAGCCTCATCTTTCTCCCGCGGAGCAGCTGGTAGTTTCAAACTACTGACCTTGCGGTTCGCAGCCCAATTCATAACCACTACGCTACCAGAGCTCCTTACATTAGGGGTGAGTTAATTAAATGTTTGACCATATACAGCAGACTAATTTTTAAGTTGATAATTTTGTATGGCCCACGAATTATGTTACAAATTTTGGCAGAAAAAAATGTTCCCCACCCCTGCTATAAGAGTCCTGGTATGGTTCCATGGGTTAATGCTGGACAACAAGGTCAATTTGAACCACAAGGTTGGTGGTTCAAGCTCACAAGCCGCTCCTTGGAAACCCTATACAGGGTCGAAACGAGTTGGAACCGACTTGACGGCACTTAACAACAACAACAACAACACCCCTGCTATATAAGGTCACTATGAGTCAGAGGTGACACTTAACAACAACACAAGGGAAGACCTAATGATCCCTACGGACATGGTGAATTAGGCATTAGTATTCTAACCACTAATGGTCAGCAGTTCAAACCCACCAGGCACTTTATGGGAGAATGATAAGGCTGTCTGCTCCCGTAAAGATTTTCAGTCTTGAAAACCATGTATAGGGTTGCTGGGAGTCAGAATGAACTCTGTAGCAGTGGGTTTGGGTTGGGAAGACTGAGGGAGTTTACCTTGTGGTAATTCTATAGAGTCTCCAGAGTCTCCCCTCCCCACACCCCTGTCCTGTTTCCCTGATGCAGTGGACACCTACTTTCTCCAGAACTTCAGTGTCCTCCAGGCATTTTTGATCCATTAAAGGTCACTAAAATCATTAGCATAATGAGATGAGAGGATAAATAACAAGCAAAGAATGTCGCTTTTGCTGACATTCTTGAAGGCAACTAGTAGCTTCACAAATACAAAGTGAAATTAGAGGATGGTAAAACTCGAAGTACTATTAGAATTTGGAGTTTAAGAACTTTCTTTTATTCACAGGGCGGAAACTCGCTTATGGTCACCACAGGTATCTGAAGATGGGAAAGCTCATCCTTTCAAAGTCAACTTAGAGTCAGAACCACAGGTAGGACTTTAAGAGTTAAAGCTATTCCCATTATATTTCCATTTAAATGATGTTGATGTCTTCCAAGAGAAAAAAAAAAAGTGGCAAATATAAAAATTGGAACAAGCTTCTAATAATGATCTGTCTTTTCTGTTTCAAGTTAATTTGTATTTCTCATGTGTTCTCCTGAAAAAGAGAGATGGAGAGAAACATCAAGAGATAGCATTATTAGACAAACCTTCTTGTTAAAAGACAAATATGTTCTCATCCGAAAGAATTTAGCTATATCTAAATATAGAAAACCTATTTTTCATTTTTTATTATGAATTTCTGCCAAATGACTATGAAGTAATGTAAGAAGTGTACATTGTTAAAACAAAACAAAAGTATAATCTCCCATTTGAAACAGGTGTCTCTAATCAAATAGTTATTGTGAACTTCAGTTCCCCCAAGGCTTTTATCCAGATTTTATTTTATATTGTTTAATTCTCAGCTCTGAAATTCTATAGTTAAGCTTGCTCTAAGGGAAGAGTTTTGCATTGTTATCATGGGTGATGTTCTGTCCAGGGCGATAAATTATAAATGATTAAATATTTCTCTTGAGGCAACTCTATTTAATGAGCTAAATTAATCTAATAATGTGATGCTATCTCAATATGTCTGCTTTCAAAAGCTTCAATAAACTAACATTCAATTGAACTTTGGTTATGATATATTGCAAATCTAATTTTTAAAAATATTTTAGAATTCTTTTTTAAATCCTAATCAGAAACTCCCCAGATTTACTGATCAAAAGATGTACTATCCTTTTAAAACAAGTATTCATATTAACTTATGAAATAGTCCCAAAGTATAGATTTTCTAGGTATTTTAATTTCACAAAAATAAATTGAATATCATATTCATAATTTAAACTTCAGCAGTTTTTTCCTTTAGGGAAGGATCAATTCCTGGATCTGTCCAAATTTTACACTTACCTCCACACACCTCCATTTTCTTCTCTGAAAAATACATGAGGTGGGGGTGGGGGGGAATTGCTGGTAAGTTAGTTCCAACTTAAATCAACCATATAAAACAGAGTGATGCTACTCTTTGTTTCTAAGGCTATAAATATTTACAGAAGCAGACTTACACATCTTTCTCCTATGGAGTGACTGGTGGGTCTGAACTGCAAACCTTTCAGTGAGCAGCTGAGCACTTAAACATTGCACCATCAGGGCTTCTAAAATAACATCAATTCATGGATTACATATGACTTTTCTAAGATTTAAATAAAATAACATAGAAAAGGAGCTTATCCCATTGAATTGCTCATGAAACCAGTTGCCATGAAGTATATTTCAACTCTTGGTGATCCCATATGTTCAGAGTAGAACTTCGCTCCACAGAGTTTTCAATGGCTGAATCTTCAGTAAATAGCTAGGATTGTCTTTTTCAGCACCACTGGATGAGTGTCAATCACCAACCTTAATGGTTATCTGCTGATTAGTAGCTGAGGCCAAACCATTTTCTGCTCTGAGGACATAGAGATCAGTCAACTCAGTGGTAGGTCTTATTATCAGTGCTCGTACCTCCCCATCAGGCCATAATCAGATGTTTCTGGTCTTTTTCAGCAGAGAGAGTGGCAGTTGCTTATGTGATAGGGCTTCCTAGAAGCCAGGAATGCCTTCTTCCTTACTATTACCAGTACCACTCCAAGTTACTTTAGGTTTAAGCTTTATTTTTAGTTAAAAGGCAGTTCCTCCAGGACAAGAAATTGAGCAACTTAATCTTTAGAGGGAATGATTTTATTAGATTCTTGTCCTAGGTTTGTGAATGGATAGATCAAAGAGCAGAAGGAGGAGAATAGAATTTGTGACCACAAGGCCAATAGTTTGTGCTGTTCTCCCAGAATCCCTTGGGGCACAACACACACTAAGTATTCACTAAATAGCTGGCAAAGTCAAGAGAGAAACTGGAGAACCTAAAGTCAAACTGTGCTTATTTTAACATAGCACAGGACCAAGGCTGGGAGCCAATTTTCAGGTGGTGTCTTGCCACGCCCCTACCCCAGGCCTGTTGCACTGTAAAAATGACTTTGAAAAGTGAATGGGGTATTTAGTTCAGGTAAGAATTTTAATTCTTCAGGTTTAATGTACAAAAGATACAGTGGATGGAGCAGTGAGAATGGAGGTATGCGGAAAGTGTTAATGGTGCAGCTTCCCATTAGCTAGGCTACTAGCTGGGTTGGTGGATAGTAACCCCTCAGGTTAGCATTTTCTTTGATGGAAGAAAAGATCAAAAGAAGGAAAAATAAAGTTATCAGGGCAGACCTGTCACTTCAATAAAGCTACTTGCAGCCATGTCCAAGCCCCTGCTTCCTCATCCATTGTCACTTGGAGGCAACTGATGAGAAAAGTGACCAGGTGGTGCTAAAAAATAAAGAAGATCTAAGGCTTATCTGTATGCATATGTTGACCATGCAACCTCTTATCATCATCAGAACAAACTCAATGGAATTCTACAGGAATTTTTTTAAGCTCAGGGGGAGGCTGGACCATGATAAGAATCTGTCTTGCTGACATTTCTCCAGAAGTGTAATGTAAAGGCAGTTCTCTGATAGTAGCTATAGAAGTATAGCTATAAGTATTAATTTGCAAAACTATAAGTATTAATTTATGACTTTGGTTATTCCAAGGATCTCTGGTGGCACAGTGTTTAAGCACTCAGTTGCTAAATAAAAGGTTGTTGGTTCATGCCCATCCAGCAGCCCCACAGGAAAAAAGATTTGGCAACTCAGCAGGAGAAAAGATCTGCTCCTGTAACAAACAGTCTAGGAAACTTAGGTTATCCCAAATGTTGAATTTTTAACGATAGCTCTAATTTTCAATAGTGTGTAATGTATTACCCTATGTATCTTGTATGTTGGCTTATGCATATGGATACTTATTATACTACAGATAGGAAAGAGATAGGTTAAAAAATTTAGAAATGGTAAAGAGAGGGTTAAGGGCTACAGCAGGCAGTCAGATGGAACCTTTGAAAATTCCATTCATTTGAGTCAGGCCGAATTCTTACTGACATCCTCTACAAGAGGCTGGTGTTTGAAGGGCTTAGAGATAAGAATAATTTCACCTCTTACCTTAATGGACCAACCAATTCCTATTCCTTATGAAGTTCTCAAGCCACATTTCTGCACAACCAGTTTGTATAACTTGGCACCATAGGGCAAGCATTCCCTACCCAAAAAAAGTGAATTTCGGTACAACTCATGCTATCTAAAAACCCTCTGGCATAAACTAGGATATAGTGCGATGATAAAATTAGTTTTTACAAATTCTGACTTGAATATTAGGTTTGAAAAGAAAGCAATGCCAAGACATTTTTAAATCAAACAGTGAATTTTAACTTAGTAGACTAGTATTGGAGTCCTGGTGTGGCACTGTGGGTTAATACGCCAGACAGCAAAGCCATTTGAACTGCAAGGTGGTGGTTCAAGCTCACCAGCTGCTCCTTGGAAACCCTATACAGGATCGCTATGGGTCAGAATCGACTCGACAGCACTTAACAACAACAACAGACTAGGATTGGACAAAAATTAGGTTATAGTTCCAGATGTGTATCTATTTACTCACTTGACATATAAATATTTTTTTTTAATTATGAACTTTGCAAATAATGTAATCTGCATGACAAAGGTGTCAGTCACAGAAACATTAATACACCATGCTTAAGTTTCTGTTGAAGATGCCAATGGGCCATATAATATTTGAGTTCTTTTACCTCAACCCAAGTCACACGTATTGTAAGTGACTTTGCTTTTGCTATTGGAATACAATACTCTTTTTCATTTTAACCATAATATACCCACTCCCCACTTGCTGACATAGTTAGGATCTAAAGACCAAGTCATTATATGTAAAAATGTAGGATAAGCACATTAGATCACAAAATGAAGGATATCTACATCATTACACAACTGCCAAATTATCTTACATAATTGCCAAACCACTTACAATCATGGCCTAGCCAAGACACATAACCTCAACAATCACATCAAGTGTTAGTGGCACCTTGGCATTCATTACTTCCATGTGTATATCATTCATGCACAAAAATATTCGCATAGTAGATTTTTACTATTGTCTTCGTGCTAGATGTCTGATAAAAAGACAGTCAATCAGTGAGGAGTAGGTTTACATATATGTCATTGAAAAAGTATGACATCCTACCGTCCAAGCCCAGTTACAAATAATAAAAGGTTAGTTTGTATCTTCCTAGTCCTTTTCTCTTTGGAAAGGCTTTGCGGCATTTTGCCTTGCACAGTCTTAGTAACCACTTATACAAAATTTTGATATCTAGGTTCTTCACTTTTCTACACTACCATCATATGGTTAAAATTAGTTTTTACAAATTCTGACTTGAATATTAGGTTTGAAAAGAAAGCAATGCCAAGACATTTTTAAAACTCCTTTTCTACAGTCCTAAGTATGACCTATAAGTAGGCATACTCATTTTCTCTTCAAAGCAATACTCTAGTCTAAAGGTACATTGTTAGATTTTTTTTTTTTTTTTTGCCCTTCTTTAGAACTTGCATTCTCAAATAAAGCATTACCCTGCTTATTATTAATCCAAGAGTTCCAAGGAATAGTGTGGCTGTCACAATACTGAAAAGATACTTTTCAGAAACAAAAAATTGTTCTTTTCTACACAAGGAAAAAGTGATCTCCATTCCCATATAGAGCTTTATATATATAGTAAAGAAATGCACAGCCAAATGGAGTGTGGATTGAAATTGTTTATATTTCCATAAAAATAACTTTTTATCTATAATGCTTTGGTAACTGGAAGTCAGCCTACACAAAACATTTAAATATTCATAATTCCCATCTTCCCAAATTCTCCCCAGTGAAATATGGAAAACACTTGAAACTAATCACGGGAGAAACACTGTTTATAAGGGTTGCTTTATTTTTCACTTGAGGTGTGTGCTTGAGGAGGAGGATGCTTGTTCACAAGTGCCAAACAATGTTTAAATACAATCATTTCCTCAGTATGGTCTGAGCAAATCTTTGATTTGTTAATATAGTTTGTTTCCATCATTCATTTGTCATTTCTTTCATCTAAGTATATACATGTGAATCAAAGAGAAAATGCTGGTTTTCTTTGACCTAGTAATGGTCTTAGTACTCGGATTGAATTTTTTGTCTGTGGACAATTTCTCCAAATACAAAATTGAAAGGTGAACTATCTTTGAACGCTATCATTACTGAGGTCATCCCAAGGACTTGGGAGATTGTCATCAAAAACGACATTTCCTCTCCTGATGTTAACAGAACTTTGTCAAGTCATCTGGCCTTTACTCTGGCAGCAATAGCATTCTATTGCTATCCAAAATAAAATATTATTCATCAGTGTAAGCTCCTAACATTTAAAGATTATATTTTTAAATGCATTAATTCATTAGAATGATTCCTGAAGTAATAATTTATATGGTTTTGCCTGGGTAGGATAAACACAAGAGCTGGACTATACTAACTGTTATATAATTTTTTTACTGATATTTTGTGTAGCTCATGATTTCACAGGAAAAATAAAAAGGAATTAAAGTGGAACAGCAAGTTTCTAATTGGTTTTGTCCGTTGATTATATTTGACCATCAACAATGATGTAAGATTTGGATAGAATGTTGACTCTCAGTGCCATACTTAAATGTCCTGTTTACCATTGATGCATACACTTCATTGTGCTTTTCGGAATGACTATAGCAGTCCATAAGCTAATGCTTTGCAAAGCCTAAATACAAATGTTTAAAGCCTATATTGAAATATTTCTATTTTATGATCTGAGTGAAAAATAGATTTTGTTTCTTTTGTTGTTGTTGTTTTAACATTTGCCACCTTTGTAATAAATTACCAAGACTGAAAATGGCAAAGAAAAAGCTAATAGCTGGTTAACTTTTGAGCTGCTATTTGCGGGTACTGCTAGAGATCAGTGTTACTGTTAGAGAACTCACCCTGTTTACACAGCCATCAACATCCTTGTTTAGTTATCATTTTAAGACTGAGGAAAAATAAGAGTAGTGATATTTTTACCATTGAAGTTACTTTATGTCGACTCATTTTTGTAAATTAGATTCTATTTATCAAGATCTTTAACGCAGGACGTATTCTGTTGTGTTTTGGGTTTTTTAAAAATCTAGATTCTACAGAATCTGAGGCACTCAGGTCTGATTCACTCTTTTAGCTAACCTGAGAATTTGTAATACTTCAAAATGAAATTACAATGCAATTAGCTTTCTATCTTCTTTCATATCAAAAAGCCTAACAATGGGCTGAGTCATGGCCTTTGTCATTACTTACAATCATTTCCAGGTCACTTTTTGTTATGCTGTAATAATGGCTATATTATAATGGTTAATCTTAGAACACAGACAATCCAATTTCAGTATCAAATCAACTAAAACCACCAGATTGTACCTCTTTTAAAATGTTACACTTCACTTAAATAGTTCACACGTTCTGGAACTCAGCATTTTTCTGAAGTCACACTACGTTGTTACTCAACCAGCTCCTTATCAGTGAGTCATTATTACAGAGGAAAAAATAGAATCAAGGAAATAGAAGTCCATTCAATTACAGTTTAGAGTCACAAGAGCACTGGTGGTACTATAGGATAAGCATCAACTGCTACTTGGAAACCCAACGCAGGGTTGCCATTAGTCAGAACGAACTCCATGACACCTAACAACAGCAACAACTATGTAGAGTCACAGGCTAAGTTTTATTCACCTCAGACCTTCAAGTTCCAGAGGCTGTTAAGATATGCTGTCAAAGGCTGATGAGTATAAAAGGGTTCTTTACCACATCACCAATTTTCAGGTGTAATGAAATTTGGGGCATCTGGATCCCCTCTGGTTTGTCATAACCATTTTCCTTCCAAAACAAGTAAACTTTTGCAAAAGGCCTCACTGGAGAGAATGAAATGAGTGCCTGCTCAAAGAAACCAGAAGAAAGTATTTGCAGCCTGAGTTCTATCAGGCAGTTGTTGGTATTCTCTGACATAGGAATCTTTGCAAAAAAAACTCTAGCTTTTCCAAGGCTACAGAAGAGTAACAGCCACAGCTTCCTCATTTGTAATGACAAGAAAAAGAAGAAGATGAATGAACAAGAACATTATAAGATCTTCCTTTTTTCAAACAAAAATGACTTCTTTCCAGACTACATTTCAAGACTACATAAATGTTTGCACTAGTTGAAATCTGTGTGAGACATCATGGCACGTTTACAAAAGTAAAATGAAGTTGATGGGAATGTGTGAGTGAAAATATTTTTATAAAGATTTATCTTATTATTTCTACCAAATGGAAAGATTCAGAAAGAGAATTGGCTCATGTGCATTTTAGCATTCCTTTTTGGTTTTCTTCTGTTGCTTAGAAGAAAAAAGAATGAATGACTTTGTAAAAATGATAAGCTTATATAAAAACTGGAGACTATAAAAAGTATAGGATTTCAGATCACTCATACATGTTTCAGACTGGGAGTTTAGAACTTTGATGCTTGTTTCTCTCTCCCCAGCAATAAAATGAAAATCCTTTGGTGGAATAATTATATTAGCTATCTGAAGTCTTTCTGAGACTAGAGTAAACATGAAGAGTTCTTATAAACACCCATGTAGTCATTACATGAGAAAACAGGTTTTCACTAAATGTGATTACTGCTTAGGTAGGAAAAACAGCCTTAATTCTTGTCTTTTTTTTTTTCTTTTCTAACATTAAGGTTATAACTTGTTCCAGATTAAGATTTTTTGGTTGTTGTTACAGATATAAAAGAAAAACAATTTTTACTTAGATTGATAAAATGATTCTTCAGTTATTCATAAAAGCTCATTTTTTCATGACCTGCTTGACTTCCCCATTTATTAAAATGGGGGCCATTTTTTAAAGATATTAATAAAAAGAACAGGAAGTAGGAGTGAGTTCTACTTGAAAAACAAAAACAAGTATAATGACATTTCATAAGCCAAAATCTCTGTCCTGACGCAAATCTCTGTATTCAAATGAATCACATTAGAATTTCTAAAAAGTTATAGCTGTAGAAGTCAACAGGGGGCAGATATGAGATACAATGTTTGAATTGTTTTATAATGTTTGATAATAGGTCACTTCCTTTGTAGCTTATCATTTGGTAAATAAATATGACACATGTGCATTTAATAGAAAATCACAGACTGGTTTCTATCCAACTCTTTCTTTTTTCACCTTCTAATTAGGCTCCTAGTGGGTAAAGATGCCTTTATTAACAATAGCAATGTGGTTAGTTTTGCTCATTAACAGCTTTATTGTGCACTCTGTGGCTCTGTGTATTTTGTCTGCCATTGTACAGGAATTCAAACCCATTGGTACAGCGCACAACAGAAGGGCTCAACCTTTTGTTGCAGCGGCAAACATTGACGACAAAAGACAGGTAGTGAGCGCTTCCTATAACTCACCAATTGGCCTCTATTCAACTAGCAATATACAAGACGCGCTTCATGGACAGCTGCGAGGTCTCATTCCTAGTTCACCTCAAAAGTAAGTATTTGACTTTCAGTTTATGGTCACTGTGTTCTTAACAGTGATAGAGTAGTGTCTTTTCCTTTTGAAAGTCCAGCTCTTGCTGTTTCGTTTTTGCTTTCCTGGAGGTACAATCAGATTTGTATTTTCCAGACATGCTTCTATTGTTCTGAAACCCAACCAGCCAGTTCCTGAACATCTAGTGACTAGGTGGATAAAAAGAAGAAATTGCTCTGGTTTCATTCACCCTTCTTAGTCATATCAATATTTGGTGGTAAATAATTCTCTCTGTAAAATCACCAGTCATTTAATTTTCTCTCAGAAAGCATATAACTCTTTATTTTTACAGGATGTGAACTACTTTGAACACAAGCACAATATTCGGCCCAAACCTTTCATAATCCCAAGCCGAAGCAGGTCATAAACTCTGAGATTGTGACGTGTGGCGTGCATGCGTCTTTCATTAAATCCTTACTAATCACCATGCAAAGTAACTTTGAGGCATTTGGAGTGACTTTGCTCATTTTGAAACTTATTTCAAAAGCAAAAGAAACAAACTTGCTTTGCAAAGAAAACAGTTGTCAAATAACCTCAGTTTCCAAGAGTAAATATTGACAAGATAATAAAGCTGTGGGATTCTGTGCAGTCACCATGTGTATTTTTAACTAATACCCCTGATGCTCTGGGGATCCCATCCAGAACATCGTGACCTTTTCAGGCAGACGTGCTCTGTACCAGGTCAGGAAAGCCCGGCCAAAGCAAAGGTAAGAGGAAACCAGCCCCTGGCCAGGAGCAGGGAAACAGGTGGTACCCACGTGGGACACTGGGGGAGCTTATCTGTTCTTCCCATCCTCCCACCTCAGCAACTGCCTCTCATTGCTCCTTCGGAGCCCATTGGGAAATCCCACTGATTCTAGCTCTTATGTAAAAATAATTTTTCAAAGGAAGCAGATTTTTTCCCTTGGGTGAAAGTCAGTATAAAAAAAAGAGTAGAGAAGAAGTGAGATCTCTTGGTTACTCTCTTGGGTCCACCACCACCAGACTCTGTGGAGTTGATTCTGACTCATGGTGAGAATGTGTGTCAGACAAGACCTCCATAGAGTTTTCAGTGACTGATTTTTTTCAGAAGGAGATTACCAGACCTTTCTTCTGAGGTGCCTCTGGGTGATCTCAAACCTCTAACCTTTTGGTTAGCAGGTGAACAGGTATTCCTTTTGCACCAGTTTTGCATATCTATTGCCACTGAGTCAGTTCCAACTCACAGCGGGCCTATAAGACTGAGTAGGACCCTCTCCTTAGGGTTTTCCAGACTGTAATTTTAGGGGTCAGGCCTCTCGTCTTTCTCCTGAGAAGCAGCTAGTGGGTTTGAACAGTTGGCCCTGAGGTTAGCAGTCAACTGCTTAACCCATGGTGCCAGCAGGGCTCCTTCCCCTAACGATGTTGTTGTTATGAAGTGCCATGGAGTTGGTTTCGACTTATAATGACCCTGTATAGCTTTTCTGAGAATTAATTCTTTTGAGGGAGCAGAGAGTCTCAGTTTTCTCCCACAGAGTAGCTGATGGGCTCGAACCACCAACCTTGTGGTTTGCAGTCTGTACTCTCTACCAAGGACTATTGTTGTTAAGTGCCATTGAGTCAGTTCTGACTCACAGCAACCTGTATAGGATTTCCTAGGAGCAGCTGGTGAGTTTGAACCACCAACCTTGTGGTTTAAACCACCAACCGTGTGGTTCAAGCCAACCTTGCAGTCCAGCACATTAACCCACAGCGCCACTCCAAGGATGTTGTTGTTGTTATGTACCGTGGAGTCGGTTCCGACTCATAACGACCCTGTACAGGGTTTCTGAGGCTATAAATCTTTATGGGAGCAGAAAACCTCATCTTTCTTCCACAGAATAGCTGGTAGTTTCAAACTGCTGACCCTGAGGTTAGCAGCCCGATTCGTAACCACTATGCTACCAGAGCTCCTAGGATAGCAGTGTACAAATTGGATTAATAATAAGCAAACTCTTCATTGTTGTCAGTCATGAATTGAATCATCTCCAAATGATCCTTTTTTTAATGTCTACTCTAGAAATTGAGCTCCAGCTTGCTGTTGTTGTTGATAAGTGCCATCAAGTCGGCTCCAACTCGTACCAACCCTGTATAGGGATTCCAAGGAGCAGCTGCTAAGTTTGAATTATCAACCTTGCCTAAGTGGGAGGAAATTAATGCTTTTTATTTTGACCAGAGGAGTCTTAGTGTGGCACTGTTGGAAAATGCGCTGGACTGCAAGGTTGGTGGTTCAAGCCTCACCAGCTGCTACTCAGAAACCCTCTACAGGATCGCTATGAGTTGCAACTGTCTCGACAGCTCTTAACAACAACAACATTTTGACCAGAGTCCTGGTGTGGAGCTGTAGGATCAGCTCAGACCACCAGGTCAGTTTGAAGCACAAGGTCAACAGTTCAAACCCACCAGCTGCTCCTCGGAAACCATATACTGGGTCACTATGAGTCAAAATCTACTTGACGGCACTTAACAACAACAACATATGATTAGTCAGGTTGGCAGTTCAAACCTCTCAGCTGCTCCAAGAAAATCCTGTTGAACCAACTCATTGGCACTTTACAACAACATCTTGACATTAAGAAATAATGACTTTAGGGAACCTGAAGCCCACCCCTCTGACTACAGCTAAATCAGTGAGGCCAAAGGAAGGAAGTCTGTGGTTAGACTGGATTGACCCTAACTGGTTGTTATTGTTGGATGCTGATGAGTTGATTCCAACTCCTAGTACCCGGTGTGACAGAGTAGAATTGCCCTACAATGTTTTCTTGGCTGTCATCTATACAGGAGCTGATCTTTGGGCCTTTTCTCCCACGGAGCTTCTCTCTGGTTGGGTTCAAACAGCCAACATTTCTGTTATCGATCAAGTGCTTAACTGTTGTGCCATCAGGGATCCTACCTAACTGGTTAGGAACACTAAATAATGAAATACATCCTAGGTCCCAAACTGGTGATCCATTAAAACCCAAACCAAAGATGGCTGCAAATCAATTCTGACTTTTGTTAATCTTACAAGACACAGTAAAACTGTCCCATAGGGTTTCCAAGGCTGTAAATCTTGATGGAAACAGACTGTCATGCCTTTCCCTAGTGGGTTTGAACCAGTGACCTTTTGGTTGGCAGTCAAACACCTAACAACATCACCACCATGACTCCTGTTGGCCCATAAACCAAAACCAAATCTACCATCATCAAGTCAATTCTGACTTATAGTGTCACTATAGAACAGTGTAGTACTCTTCCTTAGGATTTCCAAGACTTTACAGGAGTTGGTAAGTGCCCTTGTGTCACTTCCTACTCACAGAGATACTGTGTAAAGTTTCTGAGGAGTGGCTGGTGGATTTGAACCTCCGCCCTGTGGTTAGCAGTCCAGTGCTTATCCTGCAGTGCCACGCCACGAGTAAACAGCCTCATCTTACTTCTCAGCAGCAACTGGTGGGTTTTGAACTGCTGACCTTGCAGTAGGCAGCTCACTGCAACACCATGGTGGTTCATGGTATTACTGTTAAGTGCCATTGAGTTGGTTCCAACTCATAACGACACTGTATAGGGCTTCCGAGGAGCAACTAGTGAGTTTGAACCAGCAAGCTTATAGCTCAAGCCAACCTTGCAGTCCAGTGCTTACCCTATTGAATTCTTAGGTATGTTTTATTTTCTCCTCCTGGTGTTTAAAGGCTTAATATCTTTAGATGGGATGTGCACTCTTCAGCTTGTCAAAATGCCCATTACTCCTTATACTATTATTCCTGGTCCAGTTTCATATATGTGTAGCCCTCCTGGCCCCCATAGACACCTGAGTTTATGACTCTGCTGTGGGTAGTCATTACTTCATATATGATTTCCATGTGCAGATGTTTTCATAAGAGGATTGACTCCAAATAAGCTAGACAATTTCTGTAATATCAAACCCAGGAAGGAGCACTAGAGCAGAGGTTGTTGTTGTTGTTAAGTGCCGTCGAGTCGTAGGAAACTTTTTTTCTGCCCAAATTTTTTAACATCATTCGTGAACCATACAAAACTATCAATTTAAAATTTTGCCTGCTATATTTAGTCAAACATTTAATTAACTCACCCCTAATGTGATGAATGGAGTCCTGGTGTGGCGCTGTGGGCTAATGCGCTAGACAGCAAAGTTGGCTTGAACCGCAAGGTCGGTGGTTCTAGCTCACCTTGGAGGCTCTATACAGGGTCAATATTGGTTGGAACTGACTCAATGGCACTTAACAACAACAACAAATGTGATATCTGCTAACCTCAAGGTCAGAAGTTTGAAACTACCAACCATTCTGAGGGAGAAAGATGAGGAGGCTTTCTGCTCCCATAATGATTTACAGCCTTGGAAACCGTATACAGGATCGCTGTTAGTTGGAACCAATTTCATGGCACATAACCAACCAACCAACCAATGTGATAGCTGGAGTCCTGATGTGACATTGTGGGTTAATGCACTGGACTGCAAAGTTGGTTTGAACCACAAAGTTGGCAGTTCAAGCTAACCAGCTGCTCCTCAGAAACCTTATGGTCCCGACTGGATGGCACTTAACACAACAACAACGTGATGGCTGGAACTGTGATTGCCTTGGCAGGGCTAGACCAAACGATTTCACAGGCCATGTCAGGCTTGCGGGCTGGACATTCCCCATCCCTTACAGAGTGAGAAGAGCAGGAGAAAGGAGCTAAGAAAGCAATGACTACCAAATATATGTTTTCTCACTAGAATGTAAGCTCAGTATCCGCAGAGTCCTTGTCTGCTGGTTTAACATTATATCCCCGCACCTAGAAGTACAGTCAATAAATAAATGTTCATCAAATAAAGGATTAAAATTCTGCATACCCAATATTTCCTGAGTGTCAAAAAGAGTCACCTGCTATTACCCTTCCCTCATATTTGCAACTCTACACAATGCTTTCTTTTTCGTTTGTTTCCATTCTCTTTTCTTCTGTCTTCCCCATTTCTTCACATTTAACAGCTTCTCTACCCCACTCCACCCCACCACACACCAAATAACATAGCAACACTGGTTTAAAAGTTAAAATGCAATTTTACTATTGACTTAATACATATACAATTTCCAAAGGAAGCTCTGTGAAAAGAACGTCTTTGTATTGTGAGGTTCACACAACTGCAAGCCCACTAACTTAAGTCTCATGGCTTCAGGGGATTAGAATAAAGTATGGCATTAGAGTTGCTCAGATATTTTCTAAAGACCTAGAATATATGTCATTTTGTAAAATCAGGGAAAGTTAGGAATATCCCTTCTTTGAGGTTTCCATTTTTATTTAAACATCGTGGCAATGATAAATCCCTCATAGTTTTCTCATTTGAAGGTAACTTCTTAATACTGCTGAGTTTGGAAGAAGGGAAAGAAGGAATATAACTGAGAGAGTTTTCTTTAAAAACAAGTTGCTGTTGTTGTTGTTAAGTGTCATTGAGTCAGTTCCGACCCATAGCAACCCTGCATAGGGTTTCCGAAGAGCAGCTGATAAGCTTGAACCGCCAACCTTGCAGTTAAAGCTGACTAAAAACAAGTACCAGTATACAAGTTTAAAGAATATTTTTCCTGTGTCTCCTCACTAGTTACTCTATCTTCTGAATTTCTTGTTCTCACCAAATAAGTCTTCATCAAGGTGTGGCACTACAAGATAATGCACTGGACCACAAGGTTAGCAGTTCAAAACTTCCAGCTGTTCCTCGGAAACCCTATACAGGGTCACTATGAGTGGGAACTGTCTTGACGGCACTTAACAATAACAGCATGTTTTGCTGTAACTACAACTTACTCTTCTCTTTAATCAGAAGTTGGAGATGCTAAATGGGTAATATGTTCATTCTACTAGGGTTTTGCTATTCGAACCAAAAACAAAAAACAAAAACTCACTGCCATCGAGTTGAATCCAACTTATAGGAACTCTATGTAAGCCTTCCGAGATTGTAAATCTGAACAGAAGCAGAAAGCTACTAACAATTCATTGTTGTTTGTTACTAAGTGCCATCGAGCTGGTTCCGACTCATAGCGGCCCTGTATAGGGTTTCCAAGGAGTGGCACGTGAACTACTTCATAATTGATGCATATTAAAAACCAGTATTTTTGTATGCAAATAGGTAAAAATGTAAAGTTATAGCTATAATTAAAAATATATACAAGGTATTTTATAGGTCCAAATGATAAAACGCAATTATGGGAGTCATTTTTGGACAAGGTCCTTCCAGAAACCTCTAAAACTGTCAGTGTACACTCCAGGGAAATTAGTTCACTGTCTAATGGCCTATCAGGGGTAAAGCAATTGACTTCATTATCAGCCTTACAAGTGGTCTTGCCAAGACACTTGCCTCAAGCTAGCTCGTTAGGTCACCAGGAATATAGGTCATATGATTCATGGTAATATCCACAGTGACTGTTGTTAAGTGCCATGGAGTCGATTTTAACTCATAGAGACCTTGTATGTTGTTGTTATATGCCGTGGAGTCAGTTACAACTCATAGCGACCCTGTACAGGGTTTCCAAGGCTGTAAATCTTTTTGGAAGCAGAAAGCCTCATCTTTCCCCAGTGGAACAGCTGGTGGTTTCGAACTGCTGACCGTGAGGTACGCAGCCCGATTCGTAACCACTACACTACCAGAGCTCCTTAGAGACCTTGTATAGGGTTCCAAAAAGAGCAAGTGGTAGATTTGAACCACCGACCTTGTGGTTAGCAGTCCAGTGCCTATCCTCCAGTGCAATTCCAATACTCTATCCACGGTGACTGGAGTCCATAAAAACTATTTTTTTAAAAATACCAAATATTTTTAAATTGTTCCAGAAAGTTGTAAGTAGTACTTCTTGTTTACTTAGGATTTATTTCCTAATATTCAGATTTGTCATTGTCCATTGCTGCCAAGTCAGTTCCAACTGATTGCAACCCTGTATAGGGTTTTTGAGAATTGTTGGTGGGTTTAAACTGCTGACCTTGCAGTTATCATTCCAGTGCTTATCCTACAGTGCCACACCAGGGCTCATTGAATAGATATTGGACTCTACATAGAGTGATAAAAGATCTAAGGAAATAGAAGACACAGTTTTTGCTTAAATAAAATGAATACTCAAACATGCATGTATGCAAAAACACCACTAAATGGAAAAAAAAAAAAAACCTCAAATTACAACTATGAAGTGTGGTGGTGGTGGTGGTGATGTGTCATGGAGTCGGTCCCGACTCATAGCGACCCTGTTCAGGGTTTCCGAGGTTGTAAATCTTTACTGGAGCAGAAAGCCTCATCTTTCTCCTGCGGAACAGCTGGTAGTTTCGAACTGCTGACCTTAAGGTTCACAGCCCGATTTGTAACCACTACACTACCAGAGCTCCTTATAAAGTAAGGTACGTAGGTAAATTCTAGATTTATCATAACTTTACTATCAGTAAACAGCTCCAGATAAGTAATCCAGTGGCAATTCCTAATCACAAAACCCTTTACAGCTTTTCAAAGCACTGTAATTTTCAGTTTTATATAACCTGTGCTGACCGCATTTGTGCTGACTGCAACTGATTGAATCCATGTTAAGGAAAGAGGAAAATGGATTTCTGATTGGTTACTTTCTCGGAAACAATGCCGGAGTCAAAACTATGACCAGCACTTGTAGTTAGAGAAGTTATTAAGAGATTGTTGGGACCACTATTTTGAGCCAAATTTTCCCAAGGTATAACTTACCGTTTCAGAAGCTTCCTTACACTTAGATCAAAACAAACCTTCCTTACACCAGATTAAACCAGACAACACTGAAAACAAATCAACTTCTATTCTTTTACCAGGTGGGATGGACTTAGGAAGCCAGTGTAATGGTGGTGGTTATGTGCCATGTAGTCGGTTCCAACTCATAGCGACCCTGTATAGGGTTTCTGAAGCTGTAAATCTCTATGGGAGCAGAAAGCCTCATCTTTCTCCTGCAGAACGAACAGCTTGTGGTTTCGAACTGCCTACCTTTAGGTTAGCAACCTGCCTAGTAACCACTACTCTACCAGAGCTATGCCTGTGATAATGGTGACTAGGCCACTTGACGTTTTTTGTACATGATCCAATCAAATTGATTGCATTTTTAACAGATTCTAAACAGTCAGGAAATGAAGGAGCATGTCAATTTAGGAGTGTGCCTAGTGTAAACTGTATAGATTGTTGAAATGATTTTAAAGAAGAAAAAAACAATTTAAAAAGAGCTCAAATTACAATAATGCACCTATAATGTAAGGTAAATATGTTAGTTATAAATTTATCATATATCTACTATCAATAATGGGGTCCTGGTGTGGCGCTGTGGGTTAATGCGCTGGACTGCAAGGTCAGTTTGAACCCCAAGGTCAGCAGTTCAAGCTCATCAGCCACTCCTCAACCCTGTGTAGGGTCACTATAGGTGCGAACGGATGGTGCTTAACAACAACAACTATCAATCAATAAACATTTCTGGATATCTGCATGCTTTGATCCCTAGTCACAAAACCCTTTACCACTTTTAAAAAGAATTATAATCAGTCTGATTACCAACAGTAGTGAAGTCAACAGGATCACTGCCCAAATCTTTTTAGCTTTTGCTATCAGTATGGAGTTATAGTTAGCATTAGCAGCCCCAGAGAGTGAGTGCAGACATGGGACCACACTTGAGACCTGAGAGAATACTGCCCTTGAGGTAAACAGGTAAACACACTATATAGATCTGATCTGTCTTGACTTTACAGCAAGGTTAACTGATAGGCATTACATTAACGCTTACATTGATGCTAATACCTTTTTGGCTTTATCTTGAAGGACTGCGCTGCTTTTTTTTTTTTTTTTTTTTAATCTTAGTAGATCGTTTCATCATTAAATGCATCTCCCATGGTAAACTTAAAATGCACATAGAAAAATTAGTTATTATCATTGGAATGTCTATTGGCCTCCTGTCCAGTTTCATAGAAACTATGAAACCTCCCTAATTGTTTCGAAATTTGCATGACTGGTTTTTTTAATGATAATTCCCCTTCAATTTGTTCTTTAAAGGAAATGAGAAATTTGCATGGCTATAAATGTGTGCTTTCAAATTTTTATGTGAAATTAAATATGTCTAAAAGAAATTTATCTTTGCCCTAGTGTCCTAAAGAGTCTGAGATTACCTTGTTTGTTCTGTAATCATTTTTTTCAAGGTGACAAGCATTTATTGGCAGTTTCTAGAATCTGAATTCATCCATTTTTGAAAGTATATTCTTTACAAAATCAAAGAATGAAAACAGAAAAAAATGACATCTGGCAGTAAAATATTTACAAAACACTTAACTTTACCATTGTTGTTGTTGTTAAGTGCTGTCGAGTTGGTTCCTCCTCATAACAACCCTGCATAGGGTTTCTGAGGAACAGCTGGTGAGTTTGAACTACTGACTTTTCGGTTCAAGACAACCTTGCAGTACAGTGATATCCTACAGTGCCACACCAGGACTCCATATCTTTACCATATAATCTTCAAATTCCTAGTTACTAGTCATTTAAAGTTTGACTCTTTTATTGAACTGTTGAGCTCCAATATTTGACTTAATTGTCATACTTCATATTTAGTAACAATTTGTGATAGACCATTCATTAACTATACTATTTTGAAATATTCACTTTCAGAAATGTCCATGAATATCTAGTCAAAATAATTCCCCAGCGTCATTTGTCAAGTTTGAAAAACTGTTTTTTACATGGAAGTTCTATACTGTTCATACATTATATGCAAATCTTTCTGCACTTCTTAGCATACATAATGCTTCATAGCACAGAGCCAAGAAATGCAATGTTGCCTATGTATTTTAATTTTTTTCAATCATGAATTTTTAATCTCTTTCCTTTTTTAAAAAATAAATTCTTGCCAGAAGTAATTGTTATATTTTAATTTTATGTAGTTCACTTCTTTTTTGTCTTCCATTCATTTTCACCTCTCTGTACTTGTTCTCTATGTTCTCGTGTCTGGATTTTCTGGTTCCTTATGTCACCTCTGTGTAACATGGTCATTAACACAGTGGATGCAGTACTCCCTCCGGTATTGATGGTGGCAGTGGACGTAGCACCCCGTCTTCTGTCAGTACTCTTGGTACTATTTGCCCAGGTGACTTGAAAGTTGCTGCTAAGCTGGCCCCTAACATTCCTTTGGAAGTGGACCTTCCCGGTGTGAAGATTCTACATGCTCAGTTTAATACACCTATGCAGTTGTACTCAGATGACAATATTCTGGAAACACTTCAGGGTCAGGTTTCAACAGCTCTAGGGGAAACACCCTCAATGAGGTAATACGAGTCTTTTTGAACCATGGGCATATTAACTAAACACTTGGGCAGTGTCAAGTTTGCTGGTGTCTTTTAACATTAAATCTTAATTGAAAGAAAGCTATGTGAACATCCAAAAAAAATTATTAATGACTTCTTGCAAATAAGTAATGCTGATAATAAAGGAGACTTAAGGAATTGCCTACGTAGAGGTTTATGTGATAGCAGTAAGAACTAAATGTCTTCTGAAAGCTACAAAGTACTTTACAAATGTCCAATATGTTGTTGTTAAGCGTCGTTGAGTTGGTTTCAACTCATAGCAAGCCTGTATGGTGTTTCTGAGGAGTGGCTGTTGGGTTTGGACCACTGACCTTGTGATCAGCATTCCAATGCATATCCTGCAGCACCACACCAGGACTCCTAAAGTCCAGCATACTAGTTTCTCAATGTGATTTGTAATCTAGTATACCTGTTTTCTCTCTTTAGTGGGGTCAAAAATGGGGAAGAGAGGCACAGTTCAGTGGAGATTTATAAGAAATGACAACCTCTTTCTCCTAATGGCACCTTGTAGAGAGGTAATTATTTTTTCATTTACAAGGTTTGCCATGGATGAAAGTTTATAAGCAAATACTCCACAATAAATAGCAAAGTAAATAACTAATGTTCACTGATTTTGACTAAATTCTTCTTTATTATGAATATTTGTTCAAAGTCCTTATACCATCAACTTCTTTTAGTTAGCTTTATCGTAGGATACAATTTTATGATTTCTTTTATTATTACAACATCACTTTTTGGTTTTGTAATTAAAGTATAAAAATGCCTGAAAGCATTGCATAGCAATAGATTAGTAAAGATATATCTTAGGAAAGTCTATCTGTTAGGATAAATACATTGAACTAGTAGTATAATAAACTTCAAGATCAATTTTCAAAATATTTGATATATATAAAATTATTATTTTCAAATATGATGTAGGTAATAAAATATATACAGATAGCAACTGTCTTTTCTAGATAACCTCATGAAGTAGCATAAAAGCATTTATTGTCTAATTGGTAGTATTAAGATATATTTTTACTGCTCATCATGAATATATTTCTAGAAAGTATATTAAAATAAAGCTGTTATCATTATTATAAATGACCTACAATGTAGTTATTTAAATATATAGTGGAGTCAGTAGAGCAGACTTACATGTGAAATCTTAATCATTATGTGCTTTCAAATATTGACAAGTGGAATTTCTTAAACTTATATGGAAGAGTAACAAATTAACCTTAAAAACAAAATTAAATCATGTACTTTACATTTAATATCAAAAATGAATTTGAATTTTTTTGACAAGTGTGTAACAGAAAATAATCAAATTGGGCTCACTCCTACAGTTTCTATAATGTATGTATATGTCATTTTTTCTGAGAAAGGTTCATTTTGTTCCCATCTGTAGCTAATATCTATCAAATACAGTTCTTTTTTTTTTTTTTTTTAGTTATTTCATAGCAGTCACCTTCCAGACACCCTCCAAAATACTTTGCCAAATGGAAAATTGATTATTCGACTCCCAAGTTACTCAATGACTTTTTTTAAGTTGTTGTTGCTGTTAGGTGCCATTGAGTCGGTACCGACTCATAGCAACCTTATGCACAACAGAACAAAACACTGCCCGATCCATGTGAATACTCATGCTGTATTTTTAACCATAATGGAGATTAATTTCAAGGTATGGAAACTGTTCAGAAGTCACTGTAACTAGAGTGACCACTGCTTACTGATGTGTTGTGGCATCTTGTATGTCCTATGCCTCTCAGTGTTCCTGACAATACTTCACCGCCACACTTGTGTTTCAGTGACCCGGTAGCCTCGGTGCCCCCACAGTCAGATGTGTACCGGATGCTCCACGACAGTCGGGATGAGCCTACTCAGCCTCGCCAATCAGGCTCCTTTCGAGTGCTCCAGGAGTTAGTTAACGATGGCCCTGGTAAGCAGCCATTAAGGTTTGCAAATTTAAGTGAGGACAGGAGGATAACAAACATACTACCAGTAATGAAAGTCTAAAACTTGGTCTTAGTCAGTAATCAAATGAATCTTTGCTCAGAAGGATTTGGGTAGTGCACAGTGTAGGAAAGGAGCTCTTAGGAGGAGTCCAAGTAACCACAAACTGAAATCAGAAGTAAAAGGCACCGAATTCCATCCACAGTAGTCAAAGTCTAGCACGTTGTCATTGTTAGGTGCCATTGACTTGGTTCCAATTCATAGCGACACTATGTACAACAGAACGAAACACTGCCCGATCCTGCGCCATCCTCCCAATGCTACACTTGAACCCATTGCTGCTGCCACTATGCCAATCCATCTCACTGGGGGTCATCTTCTTTTTGTCTGACCCTCCACCCTACCAAACATGATATCCTTCTCCAGTGACTGGTCCCTCCTGATAAAATGTCCAAAGAATGAGAGACAAAGTCTCTTCAGCCTGGCTTCTAAGGAGCATTTTTACTGTACTTCCAACACAGATTTGTTTGTTCTTCTGGCAGTCCAGGGTACTTTCAAAACACTTCTCCAACTTGAATGCATCAATTCTACGGTCTTCATTATTCATTGTCCAAGTTTCACATGCATATGAGGCATTTGAAAATACCATGGTTTGGGTCAGGCGAACCTTAGTCCTCAAACTGGTATCTTTGCTCTTAAACACTGTAATGAAGTCTTGCGCAGCAGATTTGCCTAGTGCAATAGGTCACTTGATTTCCTGACTGCTGCTTTTATGAGTGTTGACCACAGATCCAAGTAAAATGAAGTCCTTGAAACTTCAGTCTTTTCTCCATTTATCATGATCTTATCTACTGCTCCATTGATGAGGGTTTTTGCTTATTTTATATTAAGGTGCAATCCACACTTTAAACTATAATTTTTTATCTTTATCAGTAAGTATTTTAAGTCCTCATCATGTCCAGTAAGCAAGGTTGTATCATCTGCTTATCACATGTTGTTAATGAGCCTTCCTCCAAACCTGATGCCACATTCTTCTTCATATAACCCAGCTTCTTGATTATTTGCTCAGCATACAGATAAATAAGTATGGTGAAAGAATATAAGCCTGGTACACACCTTTCCTGATTTTAAAACATTCAGTTCTGCTTTCATGACTGCCTTTTGGTCTGTTACAGGTTCTTATAAGCACAATTAAGTTTGCAATGTTATCCATACCTTGTCATGATTCACACAATCAAAAGCCTTTGCATAGCCAATAAAGCCCATGTAAACATCTTTCTGGTATTCTTTGCTTTCAGACAAGCTCCAGCTGATATCAGTAATGATATCCCTAGTTCCACATCCTTTTCTTGAATTTCTGGCAGTTCCCTGCTGATGTACTATTGCAGCCATTTTTAAATTCTCTTCAGCAAAATTTTACTTGTATATGATATTAATTATACTGTTGAATGATTTCCACATTCTGTTGTGTCTCCCTTCTTTGGAATGGGCACAAATATGGATCACTTCCAATCAGTTAGCTAGGTAACTGTCTTCCAAATTTCCTGGCAAAATGAGTGAGCTTCTCCAGTGCTGCATCAATCTGTTGAAAGATTTCAATTTGTATTCTATCAAGTCCTGAAGCCATTTTTTTTTCCCCCAATGGCTTCAGTGTAACTTAAACTTCTTCCTTCGGTGTCATTGGTTCTTAATGATATGGTACATATTGAAATGGTTGTACATCTGTTGTTTCTTTTTGCTGGAGTGACTTTGTGTATACTTTCCATTTCCTTTTGATGCTTTCTGCATCATTCCATATTTTTCCCATGTTGTTAAGTACTGTCGAGTCAGTTCCAACTCATAGTGACCCTGAATAGGATTTCCAAAGAGCAGCTGGTGAATTTGAACCACCAACCTTGCAGTTCAAACCAACCTTGCTGGCCAGTGCTTATCCTATGTCTCCACACCAGGGCTCCAATTTTTGCCCATTGTTGTTGTTGTTGCTATGTGCCGTGGAGTAGGTTCCAACTCATAGCAACCCTGCATAGGGTTTCTGAGGCTGTAAATCTTTACAGGAGCAGAAAGCCTCATCTTTCTCCCGCGGGACAGCTGGTAGTTTCAAACTGCTGACCATAACATTAGCAGCCCGATTATTAACCACTACGCTACCAGAGCTCCTTAATTTTTTTGCCCATAGAATCCTTTAATATTGAATGTTGAGACTTGAATTCTTTTCTTCAGTTGCTAAGCATGTTCTTCCCTTTCTAACTCTAGATCTTTGCACATTTTATTTAATACTTTATCTTCTCAAGCTGCCCTTTGAAATGTTGTATTCAGCTCTTTTAATTTCTCATTGCAAAATTCTATCATGCAATCTCCTGTATCATTTCTGTCACCAAAGCCATATTTTCCTACCATTGATCCTTCCTCTTTGTTTCCAACCTTCACCTTCCAATCACCAGTAATGATCTTGATTGCATGTTTGATCAACTTCAGACTGAATAAGTTGGTAGAATTCTTCAATTTCATCATCACTGGCTTTATAGATGGTCCATTATCCTATCACAGACAGCGCTGTACTTCAAGATGTTGTTGTTGTTGTTGTTGTTAAGTACCGTGGAGTCGGTTCCGACTCATAGTGACCCTGTACAGGGTTTCCAAGGCTGTAAATCTTTACGGGAGCAGAATACCTCATCTTTCTCCTGCGGAACCACTGGTAGTTTCGAACTGCCGACCTTGAGGTTAGCAGCCCGATTCATAACCACTACGCTACCAGAGCTCAATGACTTAGACCAGGTGCACCTTAGTCCTCAAACTGATAACTTTGCTTTTGAAAGGCTAACACTGTATATGAATAATAGCATATAATTTTAAATTGTTGTTGTTTAGTGTCAGTTCCAGCTTATAGCAACACTGTGTATAACAGAACAAAACACTGCCCGGTCCTACACCGTCCTCACAATCTTTCCTGTGTTTCAGTCCATTGTTGCAGTCATTGTGTCTGTCAGTCCATCTCAGGGGGTCTTCCTCTTTTTCACTGACCCTCTACTTTACCAAACATGATGTCCTTCTCCATGGACTGGTCCCTCCTAATAACATGTTCAAAATATATAAGACTAAGTCTCAGCATCCTCACTGAGGAACATTCTCTATATTCTTCTGGATGTCCATGGTAGAGTCAATATTCTGTGCCAACACAGTTCACATATATTGGTTCTTTCTTTGTCTTCCTTATTCATCGGCCAGCTTTTACATACATATGAAGCAATTGGAAATACCATGGCTTGAATCAGGCACACCTTAGTCCTCAAAGTGAATCTTTTGCCACAAATTTGCTAAACACAATACATCTTATGATTTTATTCACTGCTGCGTCCATGGGAGTTGATTGTGGATCCAAGTAAAATAAAATCTTTGACAACTTCAATCTTTTCTCTGTTTATCATGATGCTGTTTGTTTATGGGTCCAATTGTGAGGATTTTTGTTTTCTTTACGTTAAGGTGTAATCTATACTGAAGGTTGTAACCTGCGGTCTTCATCAGTAAATATTTCTAATCCTCTTTAATTTCAGCAAGCAAGGTTATCATCTGCATATCAAAGGTTGTTAATGAATCTTCCTCTAATAATTATGTCACATTCTTCCTATATAGTCCAGCTTCTCAGATTATTTGTTCAGCATACAGGTACTTTAAAATAGATATTGTAAAAATTTTCAGCCCCCACCTACACTCCTCAGTATCATTATTATCATCATCTAAATTAAAAATAATAGTAACACTAGAACCTTTCCACCACCCATCTGTCAGTTTGTGGTGATTTGCATGTTGCTGTGATGCTAGAATCTATGCCATCAAGTAGGGTCACCAATCAGTTTCAGCAAAACTTTCAGACTAAGATAGACTAGAAAGAAAGGACTGGTGATCTGCTTCTGAAAATTAGTCAGCAAAAATATTATGGATCACAATTTAACTACACTATGGCAATGATCATGAAAATGGCACAAGAGTAGACAACCTGTCATTCTGTAATACATAAAGGTCATTATGAGTCATAGTCAAGGGTAGCAACTAACAACTACACAATGAGTCATTAATGTGATCCAAATACCATGCTAAGTACTTTGTCCGTGTTATCTCATTGAATCCTCACAACAGCTAACTCCATGAGATGGGGACTCTTATTTTCTGTAATTAATAAATGGGGAAACAAAGGCGCAGAAGTGGTGAGCTTGTCCAAAGTCACAGTCAGTAAAAGCAGAACCATACTAGGTCTCCCGCCCATTGCCACTGTCCTTGGTGATATTACACTTTCTAATGCTTTTCCATCCATAAAAGATTCATATTTGATTGAAATGTTATACAAAAATACACATCATTCAATGCTCCATTGAGCATTTTCTATCAGCTCTTTCCAACAATAACACAAGTTTTAACTAATTCCTCTCTGTAAGACCTATTCAGAATAAAGTCTATCCTTGAGTTCATCCTGCTCCTTCTGAAATGGTAGTATAAGTGCAACTTAAGAATTCCTTAGGTTAGAGTACACACCTTAAAATAGAAGTGAAGCACAAACTATAGCCAGCTGTTCCCTGGCCATAAATGGAAACACTTTTTTTTTTTTTCTTTCAGATGACCGTCCTGCTGGAACTCGCAGTGTGAGGGCTCCAGTTACAAAAGTCCATGGCAGTGCTGGTGGCGCACCAAAGATGCCGTTCTGTGACAAATGTGGCAGTGGCATTGTGTAAGTCGCATTTTGAACCCAGGAATTCACAATAAATCTTGGAGGCAGTTCATTTCTTAAACTTTAAGACCTTATATGTAAAAAAAGGCCATTATGAAAGATTTAAATAGATCATTTCATTTCTACAGCATTAAAGTGTGGGATAAAGTACTGGACCACAAGGTTGGTTTGACAAGGTCAGTGGTTCAAACTCACCAGCCACTCTTTGGAAACCCTATATGGGGTTGCTATAAGTCAGAACTGACTCAATGACACTTAACAACATCAGGAAATAGATAGATAGATAGATAGATAGATAGATAGATAGATAGATAGATATCTATATATATCTATATATATCTATATATATATATATAGCTAAGGAACCAGCATTCCTTAAATATACTTAAAATTGGCATATAACTTGAAATAACAACCTTGACTTTGATTTCCAGATATGAGGGGGGCTTCAGAAATTTGTGGGAAAATTTCATTTATCTTTCAATTCCATCTTTACAAAACTTTTTGAAGCCCCCTCATATACCTTCATGGGAAAAAAATGATCCGATAGCATATTAAAATTACTTTAAAAGATCCTAGCTTTTCCTTCAAAGGACTCTGCCACTGTTGCCATAGTGTTTGAATACTTCCTTTTCTGTACAAATCCAGGAAAAGAAAAACAAGAGTCCTCAGGTTGTTAATAAAAACACATTATCTTTACTCACTTTTCTTAAGTTGCAGGAATGTTAAAATATAATTTAAAAATACAGTCAACTTTCATTTCAAGGGATTTTAGCTTTCTATGGCTACACTTACATGTTCAAATCTTCAAGTGAACCAGATAATTTTGAGCTCTCACAGCAGATGTCCTACACGGCCATTTTTGCCATACCTTTATTCTATTCCTCTACCATTAGGTTCCACACTGAGGTACTATCTGTCAATTAGCCAGATGCATCCCGGGTTGCTGAAGGTGATAAGCCTGAAAAGAAAAATTGTGAGACCAAAAGGAAACAGCAGGACAGGAAGCTCCGGAGCAAAGACATCCCCAGTAAAATCGGACAGTTGATCATGTTACCAAAAGGAATTATTGCTCCTAAACTGGAATAAACTGTTTTGACAGTTGAGGCAATGCCTCCCACCCTGTGGAAATTTCTTCTCTGCTCTATGATCTGTTTTATCTGAAATCCATAGAAGAGCCTGGACCACCAAAATAGAAACCAGTCTAATTGTATAGACAACAACCTTCATCAAAATTTGAGTCCTTAGTAGAAACGTTTGTCCTATCTGCAGCAGGTCTCCCTCTTCAGAGAAACCATGGGGAATGTCTATGAAGTAGAAATCTATGAGATTTTCTATAAATCACTGGTTTAAAAGTCTGATATGTATTCACACTTAAACATCAGAGAAAAACAGGATATGGTTTCTGAAGGTGATCTTGGATTTCCCTGACATTAACAGAGTTTCACAGCCAGAGGCCATTGCTTTCAGAATGTCAAACATGGCATCCGCTGCATTTGTAGCCTATCCTGTTTTTTCTGTTTTGTCTTTCTCTCTTCGTGTCCTACTTTGTTTTGTTGTTTTTACTTTACTTCTTTTTTCCCCCAACAGTGGTGCTGTTGTGAAGGCACGGGATAAGTTCCGGCACCCGGAATGCTTCGTGTGTGCTGACTGCAACCTCAACCTCAAACAAAAGGGCTACTTCTTCTTAGAGGGAGAGCTGTACTGCGAAACTCACGCACGAGCCCGCACGAGGCCTCCAGAGGGCTATGACACAGTTACTCTCTATCCTAAAGCTTAAATCCTATGCAGAAGGGCACACTCACCCACTCACATTTACGCTTTTATGCAGGAAGACATTAGTAGCATTGGCCAGGGAGTATGCAAGCAAATTCTCACCTCCAACAAGATACACTTTAAATGTTTATCTTGTTATGTATTGAGGAACAGGATGGGAAGTAAATGCCTGCTATATAACAAAAGCATATGTTTCATTGTTTTGCGACTCTTTTTATCTTTTCAGCTAACAATAACTTAATGACATTTGAAGCAATAATTTTTGTAGGCTGTACTCCAAAATTTACATTGATATTAAGACCATCAAATATGTGAACACTGAGATACTTTGGGCGGCTACTTGTCTTTCCTTAACAATTTCAGAAATTCTAGTTAATGCCAAATAACAATCTTGTATCGTAACACACGCTGTAATTGTCTGTATTGATTCTGATAGTGCATGTTAGGGGGAAATTCCCTGGATTTCTTTAGTTTCATAATAAAAAATTATACCACTGGATGCAACATACATAATAAAGCATTTAAAAAATATCTAATGATGTGGTACTCGATGAATTCAGATAAATTCTAATGACAGGTCTCAATCATATCTTGATGCATACACAAACTCAGATATTTTAAGAAAAATGTAGCTTCTTCTTTAGTTTCTCTAACTCTTTCTGTAACACTTTCTCATGAGCCCCCTATTTTTGATGATAACATAGGGAATTTAAATTTGCTGGTCAACAAAAATTTAATCTCTTTCAGATTAAAAGAGTTTCTTTTGCTTTAAAATGGTCTCTTTCAACTGAAGTGTCTCTTTCAGATAAATACTCAAACTCAAAATTCAAGTCCATCGGGGTTGTTTCTCTGCATGCAAGGTGTCCCCTTTAGGTGGAGGCAGCTTAGGGGGCTCCTTGAGGAGAGAGGAGGCACTACTGGTCTCTGGGCATCCTGCTTGTATCCATTGACGAATTGCATGATTACACTTGTGGTCTGTTTTCACATAGTTAGAGCCAGGCAATAACTCTGTCTGCACCACCACCTTCAAATGTCTCAGCTCAGCCTTCCTGAAGTCCCGGAACCTTTGCATCTCCTGCATGAATTCCATCTAGGCCCTGGTCCAGGCAGTCTGCATGCAAATTCTGCTCCTGGTCATTTTGCCTTTCTTTCTGGTTGGCCTCACAACAACACTCTAACTTGCTTCTCTCGCCTACTTGCCATGTTCCTCACTGGAGATACATGGGAACTTCTGAAATTATCCCTCCAAGTACAAGCCTTGGGGATCCAGCAAGGGGGAGGTTGGAATTATCTCCAGCTCTCAGGCTCTTCACCTGTCCATACCTTACCGTTCTATCAGCTCACCTGCAGCAGGTACCTGTTAGCTGAAGCAAGTCTTCTCCTCCCAGAATCCCAAATGGAAAATGGAGCACAAGTCCTCTTGCTCTTGCATTCTCCCAAGCTTAATTGATCATCTCTGACACCCACCTGTCCAGGGTTTGGGCCTAGTGCAAGGAGTCAGAACACCTGCCTGACTGCTACAGACTTTGTTGTTGTTGTTAAGTACCGTCAAGTTGGTTCTGACTCATAGTGATGCTGTATAGGGTTTCCAGGGAGCATCTGGTGAGTGGAGTGCCAACCTTGCCGTTAAAAGTGTTCTTGCAGTCCAGTGCATTAATCCGCAGTGCCACACAAGGACTCTGCAGACTTGGGCTCCATAAATTCATCAGTAGAGCTATTTTTAAAAAATAAGTTAACTTTTGAAATCAAAGACCTAGATGTAACTAAAACTATTAGAAATATCATTTTTAAATATTGTGCTCTGAGAAAAATATAAATTTTTAAAAAGGAATAAAAATTTCTTTGAAAAAAAAGGTAAAATCATTCAAGGATATGAAGAGGAGGAATGAAGGCACTGTAACAATGTTCTGTGTACATATGTATGGGTCATTAAAACACTGATGAAATACAACCAGAGGCAGTGTATCCAATGAGCAAGGAAAGCACAAGCTCACTTGTGCTTATTACTAATGTATAGAAAACATTTTCACAAGATGTGATGAAACTCAAGTGAAATTGTTCACTACAGGTTATACGTAAGCACAAGTAAGCCCATGCTTACCTTGCTTATTGGGTACTCTGTCTCTGTCACATTTCCAGAAGTAAACTTAATAGTTTAAAAGGCCCATAATTGAATGCATGAATGCTGTACTAAGAAGAGCTTAAATTAAGCATAAAAGATTAATGAGCAAAGTATACATAAGACATTAGGTTACATAACCTCTTTGCAAATTCGAAAAGAGATTTGGATTCTGTAGGAAGATTCTGTGAGGTTGAAGAAGAGAAAGAAACCAGCCATGTCTAGAAGCAGATTCTTTGATGTGGTAGAAAAAATGTGAAATTGTTCACTGCAAATCAGTAAGTAGATGTAAGCTCATGTTTATTGGTTAATCCAGCTCTGCATACAACCAATGTCACATACAAGATCATGCACAATGAACAATAATGCCAGAAGTGCCACTTCCTTCCGTGTTGTTCAGTCCACCCTTCATGTTTGTGAGGCTCTAGTTGTTCCTGTCTGAATTCCCCAAACTCCCAACCTAGACCCCTCCAGAACATCTTCAACAAATGAATAACTGATTTAGAAAACCTGAGAATTAAAAAACAAAGTATCAGTGGGGAAAACTAAAAATCAATCCAATTTGCCTCCTAGAATGGGAATTGATAGGATCAGATATTTTTGGACTAAAAGGCAAAGGTGAAGTTACTAAAAGGAAAACTGAGAGTAAACTGTTTAAGAACGATTTAGAACTTAGAATACTCTCCCTGAAACTTGTCCTATGTTTCAACTAGCTATACATTAGTTTTGTCTGATTTTGAACTTATATAAAAGAAATCAATAAAGTAAGGAAGTTTCTGTAACTGGTTCTTTCAACATTTCCCTGTTTTCATCTGACTTGAAAATTGTTTAATTATTTAAAATAACACAATAATTTTTGCAAATAACATGCCCATGTAAATAACACACACATCCATAGAAAGAATAGAAATTATAAAGTTATGTTTTAAAAGTCTTGACACAGCACACCTATGCATACACCACAAGTCACAACACATTTCCAAAGTAAACTTAATATTCCAAAAATGTTACTTTTGATCATATTTGTTTAATAAAGGTGTGGCCCACAGTCAAGAAGTCATGGATCGAATTTGCTGGTACCCCAGTTACTGGAAAATAAATAATTGAAACTGTGTACTAAAAGGAGGACTGAGAGTCAGCTCTTTAAGAGGTATTTAAAAACTAGAGCATTCTCCCCACAACATAACAAATATTGCAAAGCAATCCTATCCCAGTAGAAGTCAGATACGCATATCTGGAGAAAGTAAAACGTAGTATCTCTGGACTGGAAGATAAGACCCATAATTGAATGTATGATGCTGTACCATGAAAAGGTTAACTTAAGTATAAAAGATTAATAAGAAAAGTATACATGAAACATTATGTAGACTGAATGGGTATGGGAGGGAGAGTGAGAGTATACCCACAAATACACAAAAGTTTGACAGAGGATGTTTGTACATGGCTGTGTGGTGCTGTGGGTTAATGCCCTGAGCTGCAAGGTCAGCTTGAACCACAAGGCCAGTGGTTCAAGCTCAAGCTCACAAGCCACTCCTCAGAAACCCTATACATGGTCGCTATGAGTCAGAACTGATTCAATGGCACTTAACAGCAAGAATTTTACCTTTGCTGCAAACACACCTATGAATGTGGAGGAGCATACAGGAGACAAAATAAAGAAAACATCTTAGCTATTATCAAACACAATTTAAGGTTATGGTCTCTCCATGTGCAAAAGAAAGAAGGGTGATGAGAATTGAAGATGTTTGGAATCAATTAGTCCAAATGGACTAATGAAATATGTGAATGTTAGTCTCCATGATTCTGAGATCAGAAGAACTAGATGGTGCCCACCTACCACTACCAACTGATCTGAAAAGGGACCACATTTGAAGGTGGGATAGAGTGGGAGACAATGTGAAACAAAACTCAAAAGTATTAAAAGACTGGGCTTAATGGTTATAAAGAAACTGGAGGAACTCAAGACTATGGCCCTCAGCCACCCTCTGGGTCTGGAACAGAACTTCCCTTCATGACCCAATTTTCAAAAAAGCGGTGGATAGATGTATGTTGTTGTTTTTAAGTGTCATCGAGTCGGTTCCAACTCCTTGTGACCCTGTATAGGGTTTCCAAGGGGCAGCTGGCAAATTTGAACTGCCAACCTTGCAGTTCAAACTGACCCTGAGGTCGAGAGCTGATCCTATGGCACCATACCAGGGGGAACAAAAAACTAGTGAGGTATGTTCACCATGGAACAGCCAACTATTCAAGATCAAAAAGACAACATTGCCTGGGGACAAGGTTCAGAGGGGTTGGGAAAGAGGGTGGAATGGATGTGCACACAACAAGGAGGAAGTGAGATAAGTGTTGTTACATGGAGGGGATTGCAATGGATATGACACAAAGTGTGTGATTTGTTGGATGTAAACTGATAATCTGCTCTGTAAAACTATACTCAATTCACAATTAAAAGTTTCAAAAAAAAAATACTGTGATTTACACTAAACAGACATTATATATTATACATTGGGCACTATTTCTTTAAAATTATGTTTTATTCATTTTATTTGCAGTAGAATACTTAATAGTAAGCCTTAGTGGCACAGTGGATTACATATTGGGCTGCTTACCAAAAGGTGGGTAGTTCAAACCCACCAGCCAGTCTTCAGGAGAAAGATGAAGCACTCTGCTTCCATAACGGTTACAACCTCAGAAACCCTATTGGTTGAAATCAACTTGATGACATTAGAGATGGCATCGGGTTTTTTGGGTAGTTTTTTAGAGTACATAATGAACAGTTCAAGTTCAAATATTTAATAAAGAACTTCTGATATTTTGTAAATAGCATGATTCTAATAAAAAATTAAGGAGGGATGCTTAAATATGATCATTCAGGCTATGTGACT